AAATTTTCAATATTTTTCTAAAATTTTTGTCAATTTATCTCATTTTTTCCAAATTCGCACTTACGTGCAAGTATCGAACGATACCACGTCAGTAATCGATACCGATACCGCTGTTTGTGGTATCGCTGGTATCGAATACCGAGTACTCTGTATCGCCCAACACTATCCATCAGTGGAGGAGCAACCTTTGGAATGTTGTTAATATTTCGCACCTTCCAAACTTTCTTTAATTGAATCTCTAGTCTGTATTCATTTGCAAGCATAACGAACCAGAAAAGTGTAAAAAATTCAGTATAATATATATCTAATCATATTTTACAACTGTAGCACTGAGTTCAAAATGTAAACAAAGCGTTTGTTTACATTACGGACTTTACATCACCTTTAAGGTTACAGAACACTTTTGAGTGTTCATTTTGCTTAAATTTTTTTATTGGTTCCATAGAAGCATTAAACTAGTTCTACTAACTGACCATATTTCGCATGCACTGCGGCGAACATTTGGAGAAAATTTGATGAAAATTGGACTGATATTGAGCGCGCAGTAGCGATTTTTCGTGTGACGTGAAGTCAGAACATTCTTAATTTAAGACATTACGTCACTCATGCTGAGTCATGCTTTTGCTATATTCGTCGTTTACGTAGTATCTAAAAATAGTACTTATGTAATGCTTTATAAATATTTTTCGGACAGTATATAAGCAGCGAAGGATATTCCAAATACGAGAAAGCATCCTTGGCCAGCGCGTCTCGCTGAGGGCAACGAGCGTAAAGATGCAGACATACATTTTTGTTCGTTCTCACCCGCGAACATAACATCCGCAAAACGCCAAAAAGGGTGTTCTGCAACCTTGTTAGTTTTACTCTAAAAGTAAATGTTACGGTTTCAGTAAGTGCTTTCGTAAATATATGAATGTTTATATGAATGTTTATTCGTGCAACGGTAAGAATAGAGATATGAGAACATTCCATTTTTCACCGAATGAAAATATTCTTACCATTGCACGAATAAAAACATTCATTATTTGTTTTATATAATACCAAAATAGACTAATAATCAATATTGCTTTTTCAAGAACAATTTATTTTTTAAATTTTATTTTGCCATGTACATTACAATTATTAATACAGAACAGTTTATTAAAACACCATTTAATATTAAAATAAATACACACAAATATAACAGAAACTGAATGTTTTAAATCATTCAAAACATGATAAGTACAGTGTAATTTAACAAGAGTGCAATGGAATAAAACATGATCCAATTACACTAAATCCATCATCTTGTTCTTTGTCTTCCTCAGGACACCGCACGTTATTTTTGTCTTCATTTTGTTTCTTTCTTTCTTAACTGTGTTTTCTTAGCTAACGTAACTCAAATGTTTGCATTACAGTTCAAATCTTTCCATAATCTTCTTACAATCTTGTCCGACCCACTTTGTGTTCCTCTATATATTCTTCTGACAGATTACTTCCATCCTCTCTTAGCTAACTTTCTATCATTCTTTGTCGGGAAATGCCCGAATCATCTGATTCTTGTTTCATATTCTTTAATCAAAATATTCTAAGTAACTATCAATATAAAATTTCAATTTATATGTTCAAACACTCAAGATGTACTGAAGAGAGCCAATGGAAAACCGCTTACACCAGAAGGCAATTTATTAAAAGTTAATGATGTATTTGAGCCAATTCATGACAGAAGCATTCTAATGGCAAAAAACCTTAATTCTCAAACTAACGAAGAAACGTTTAGACGTTTTGTAGAAATTAAGAAGAAGGCTGATGTAATAAAGGTTGTCTTTGGAAAAGATGGTAAAGCTGTTGTGATATTAAAAAATGAAATAGGTAGGTGAAGGCTTTGTGCCAGCAATTGACAGAAAGAGAGTATCTGATTAGAGCTTGATTACTCGCATTTGCGGATCTTCTCTTTTTTTTTGACAGCTAACAAATTGTAAACTAACTGACTAGTACCGACAGCTAACAAATGATTTGAACATTATCTGACAACTGATAATCAAACACCTTTTCCTTTACTTAGATGAAGATTATTCAAACGAAGAAAGCTCTAATGAAAACATGAAGCTGGACGGCTCCATTATTTCCTTGGAATTTGCTCCATTGACCAAAGGCATTAGAATTAGTAACATACCACAAGGACCGTTCCTGGATGATATCAGGCGTATATTTTCAAATAAAAGTATCGGTGGTGATCCAATCACGGACATGATGCTGGATACGAAAAATGGAATTGCAAATGTTTACTTTGAAAAAACCTCAGGTATTAATCAGCTGGCTTATTCTAATGGAAGGTTCACATATGGTTTACACAATACTAATAGTAATATAATAATGATAATGATGATGATGATGATGACGATGACGATGACGATGACGATGACGATGACGATGACGATGACGATGATGATGATGACGATGATGACGATGATGACGATGATGACGATGATGACGATGATGATGATGATGATGATGATGATGATGATGACAATGATGACAATGACAATGATTTATAGGCG